AAACCTCAAACAGGTTGACACCGGTGGGAAACATATTACTCCATCTTAAAAATAATAATTGCCCAGTTCATCTTTACGTAACCTGATAAGTTCCATACTACACATATTCACCTCAATTTTGCATGTGGTTTTAAACTTGCCTTAGGATAATAGATACTATTTACATATATGTGGGTATCCATCATGGTTGAATGGCAATCATGGTTCTTCCTATGAAAATACACTCTTACCTGACTTTGGATAAGTGACTAAAAATACATCACTGTCTCTTATTTCAAAATCCTCCAAGGTATCCAAGTACTCCGCTGAAGCCATGTCTGGCTGGAAATAGAATCCTTTGTATGTGAAAAGGTATTTCTCGGCTGGTTCCATTGCCTGCATAAGAATAAAGAGATGAGAACAGTTACCTCTATTATGCGACAGCAGGAAATCAGAAAGAAATAGAGATGTCTTTTTGTCAAATCCTACTCTTTTTGCAGATCCCATAGCAGAATCCCATGCTTCTCTTCCATCACAGGTGAGCAACATAAAGGCCCATCATTTAAAGAACAGAGGCTTGGTTCATCATTGAAGCAACTCACCTAGCCTTTGCACTTTGTTTTTGTTGTTGTTAGACTGAGGTGCCTTCCCGCTGCTCTTTAATTCTCCTTCATCTGACCCTTCCTCATTACTGTGAGAGCCTCTCTCCAGAGACAACTCACCTTGCTACTGTGCAAGCTTTGCCCTGCACAAGAAGGCTTTTCTCTTTCACCCTGACACGGTTGTTTGGTCAGTGCATGTGTGCAGCATGCAAAATAGCAGTCCTTGGCCTCACTTTATGCTGCCTGGCATCATAGTTTGGTTAGTGCTGCTATCCTCACACTCATTCCTGTACTCAGGGGAGGTGGGAAGGAAGCAAAAAACTCCCCCCTGCAATTGGAATGCTTACAAATTCCTCCTGGGTGCTTTATGAACTGCATGGATGGGGTAATAATATTAATGGTAATGATAATAATAATAATCATGATGATGATGATGATGATGATGATAAGCAACTGGGGCAAACCCAGTTTTCCTTTCAGTGTTAGCCTCTGACTGTTCCTGGCATTGTTGGAGAGATTTATTTCTGTTCTACTCCCCCTATGAGATACAGTGCCATTAAGCCTGAAAATCACTTTAATTCTTGTGTTTCATTGCTAAGAAATGCAACAATTGTTTAGTGGAAAACATTGTATGTACAAAATAGTAACAAGAAAAATACTCTGATTGATTTTCCAATATATAAATTAAGGGTTGTATCCCATGCCGAATGAGCAGGGTTCCACTTGCACAATGGGAGTTCACATTCAGTCCCCTCAAAATAACTATTAATCTCTGGTAACACAAATGTTGTCACACCAGAAAAGAATATGAACTGTGACAAGAGTTTTCATGCATCGATGAAATACCTTGTTGCCCCTTAGAAAAGAAAGAGTAGATTAGTTGTTTGTCATTCAGTAGTCCTGCTTTTCCCCGGAAAGTTTAATTTACAAGAAAACTTACCTACCTTTTGTTTTTAGAGTCGAAAAGTGTGGGAGAGAGCGAGAGGGAGAGAGCGATCTCTTTTGCAGCTTGGAGTATTTCAGCTTTTCAAGGCTCAAGTTCAGAGCTCTCAAGGAAACTGCTTTATAGAATTCTGTTAACTAATAAGAGTTTGATTAAATCGATGGCTCCTCTTTAGTAAATCATTCCTGGCATGTTATGCAAGAAAAGAAAGGTAACACAGGTGCATAGAGGCAGATAATGTAAAGAACAGCAGGGGAAGAACTTGTTTCTTTACTCAAACAATAGCCAATATCAACAGTGGTCTTTGTCCGTTTAAGAAATAAATGCAGTATTATGTCTGCTCAGGTCCACTAGTAGAAAATGGGCTTAATGGTAAGAGAGACCTGAGATTCACCAATGGATGTCTATTTGTACACACATGCCTGCACTGACTTACACCCCAATAACACCAACTTTAACTCCAAAATAATCCCTTTTTGTTTTAATAAAACTTACTAAATAATTAGCATTGGTTGTTTTAGAAATCTATCTAAGAAAAGTAGCAACCTTTATGTCTTACTCCCCCAAATATTTCATGCCGTATTCTCCATTCCAAATATGTTGGACTGATAGATGTTTAAGTGCCCTTACAAGTCATCTCTGACGGAAAGCTCAGAAAGACCAGAGTATGCAATGCTTCAGAATTCCACCAGAGTACTGAGCTGTAACCTCCTTCTCATAGGCTGTGGACAGGTGCGCCAAGTTGGGCCAAACATTGGGGGAGTGCATCACGTATTCATGATGTCATATGCATGACACCCCCCCAGCCCAGCCAGACCCACTCAGTCCACTATCCACCAGACACATTTTCTGGTGGGGGTGACTGGGCCTCCCCAACAGGCTCCCATCAGAACCTGGCTCCAGCATGTGAAGGAGCTGTCAAGACTGTCACTCTCCTCAACTGGGCTGCACCACGCGCATCTCCTCTTCAAGTGGGTCTGAGCCCTATGCCCCCCCCCATATACTCAGTGTCCCTGGCTGTGGGCACAGCTAAGCAGAGGTGGGTGGAGTCAGCAATTTGGACATCAAGAGAAAAAGCAATAGAGAGAATTAGAGGGCAGAGGGGAGAGTTTGGTTCTGGGGTTCAGCTGGCTAGGAGTGTAACTCCTGGGCTGTGTGTGTGTAAAATCCACTCTGAGGAAAAACATCTACAGGCACAGAAGGAAGACTCTGAGCTTATATTGAAAGGCAGTGTCTTTAAAGAGTATTTACACAAGGTTTAATGTGTAAATACACATGTATTTACACATGGTTTAATGTGTCAACCAAATTTCAACTTCCTGAAACAATATGTGAACAGAAATACAGCTACAGTTCATCCATCAAAATTCACACATATCCAAATTATGCAAAACAGCTTTCCAACGGAAAGGGACCATGTTTATTATACAAACAATATGATATAATGCTTATTTTAGCCAAATATCCTACAGAAAGTGTTATATTAAGAAAAACCATTGTGTGTGTATTAAACATGTTTGTCTATAAATTTGTATATCAAGAGAAATGCACACTAAAATGCTGACACTAAAAATTTTCATGAACTTTTTTCTTCTAAAAAACACAGACTGGTGCAGAAGTATGGTGAACCAAAAAGAACAGTGGAAATGTGAGAAAGTGAGAGGAAACAAAAAAGATAAGAGTCACTCATCGATACTCTAAAGACTTTGAAGAAGCAGAGAATGGCATAACCTGTACTAAATCATATTATGGCAGTTTATAAATACCAGAGTCTGGCTAAAATGTGAGATTCAATGAATGTGTGTGTTGCTAAACTCTTGGAAGAGTACAAAGAACCATTTTTATTCACGTATTCTTATAAGCTGCAAATGATGGAATCTGTGCTTTTTCACGTGATCGTGTTTGCTGTGTGAACTGTAGAGTATGTGTGTCAAAGAATGCAAATAATACATTCTGGGTGCACTTGTCTCTTATCAAACTTGTCTCTTATCAAACAGTATAAAGGTGCAGCTTTTTTCCTATAGGCTGGCATGGGCTTGAATTCTGATTAATGATTGCCATTCAGTAGGAATCGAGTGCTTTCTCCATCTAAAATGCTTGTGAGGCAATTTTATATTGAAGTTCAAATAAGTTCCCCCACTGAACCACTTGTTCAAATCCACTCGGGTCAAAGTTTTGGGCCCCTTGCAAAGTTTATCATCCTTGGGGCTTGGGGTCAGGTGAGTTCCTCTGGAATCAGACTTTGTCACACCAATTACCTAACCATTCTTCAGGGGCCAAAGGTGAGAAAGCAACAAGCAGCAGAGTCCTCTGAATGTTTACTTGAAGTAAATCAAACTGTATTCATGAAGACTTACCCTCTTAATAAATTTGTTTATGAATAAAGCTTTTAAAGTGATTGTTCAGTGCCATAAAACACAAAACAGGGTTAGTGCATATTATGGACTACATGTGTCACAAGTTCCTCATCTCTAGTGTCTTTTTCTCTGGGTGGACACAGGGCTACGTATACCCCTAAACATTTTGTGAATCTTGTACTTTTGTCCATTTACTGTATTTATTTTTCTCGATTCGAACTATAAAATGGCGATTTTCTTGAATCAAAATGAGAGTATCCCTGAACATTTTTTTAGAAAAATTCACTGCACATCTCAAAGTATGGGCAACACATCATTCTTTCAGACCAAGGACTCAGCTACATTAGTAAAAAAAAACAAAAAAACCAGCACTTTGAGTGCATTATAAATATGCAACACCAGATGGCACTGGAGAACAAAAATAATTCTTTGCTAGTTTACATCACTTTTTTTCCCCTTTTGCTATAACGATTTAATTTCTGACTTATTTATAGTGGTCCCGTCCCCCCACCTGTGTATAGATCCATCCCAAGTGAAATTGTGGAAGACTTCTAGTCAAAATGACTTGAAATACTCACCAGCATGTGTTCCAACAATCACAGCTCTCCACCATTTATTTGCAGCACATGGATTGGCAGATGCTATAACAGATGACACACTGTTCTAGAGAAGGACCTTAGCAAACAACTCTATGCATAATATTTCTTGCTTGGTTCCAACACAGCTTTAGATGGACTCCTGCAAAATTCTCAAGATCTGGACAATTGGTACACACATGCAAGACATAGAAAAAGTTCCTAGAAATATTCTCAAGTATAGTGTCCAATTTAGCCATGCTCCAAGAAGCCCAACTAAACCATTTACTCAGGAAAGAGTCAGGGCTGCTCATCCAACCTTCAGCTTTTCCCGCTGCTTTCTCCTGGGAAAACCTGACCTTTACTGCTAAATTGGAGCAGACAGCCATGGGGTTTTCCATGGATTAACACTGGCTCTGATTCAGGGCTAAAAAAATGGGTTTCCCCAGAAACAGTATATTATCGACATCTCATTGTGGAAGAAAGAAGGTACCAATGTAAATAGGAAAGATATTTAATAAACATGTTCAGCATATTTTAGAATGAACAGCATATTGTGATGCACAAAGAATGTTTTAAGTGGGTTTTTTATCCTCTCCATTGACAAAAGCTATGGATTAGTCGTGTCCCACACTGTATACAATTTTCTTCTTTCAAGCTGGAAGGAGACTCATAATTCATCATGGATGTCCCAGCAGAACTTGAAGGGCAGCTTTTCCATTCTCTCCTTAAAAACACTGTCAAACCTTTCACTTTGTGCGACTGTCATCATGTTCTTCCAGTCTCCAACAGTGCCTGGCCCAGGAAGCAGACAGAAAGAACGTGCATTGTGGTGGTCAAATAAATATCCATACCTCCAGATATATTCCATCCCTAAATGCAATTGTCAGGTGAATATGTCATGGATTCTGCAAGCAGCACCAAGTCAGTGTGATCTACCATTAACTTACCTTTCTGAAGAAAATGTCCTTTGCTGTGGTCCATGAGATCCGGTGGCATGAACTCATAGTTTGCCCTGGGATCTGCTTTCATTTTATTAAATGTAGCCTGATCCACAACAGCATCCACCTCCTTTTCCGTCAGTCTCTTTCCCAGGAAGTTGCATAATTTCAATACACAGCTTCTCAGATCCTGAAATGGGAAATAGTTTTGATGTCAAGCCATCCACAATAGAGAAACCTGACAGCCTAGAGACTAAAACTCATGGAATAGGCAGGATTACAAGCAGGGAAAACAAGCAGCCTGGATCTTTCTTTGCCTAGTTTGAAATAATTGCCATTGCATCATATTGTACTTTCATTGTTACGGTACTTTTATTCCATGAGCCATGCAGAATGTACTATATTATGGGGCAGCTCTGAGTCCACAAGTAAATAAATAAATGCCCCTGTTGCAGACACAAGGGAGGTTCTGTGACATCCATAGGCGCCGACTCCATGGGGCTTGAGGGGGCCCGAGCCCCCTCAAAAAATCGTTTGGGGGGGCTCTGCCCCCCCAATAATCTCCAGCGCCCCTCCAGCAGAGCGCCATCGCCGCCCCTCCCCCAGCCCAAAATGCACAGGGAGGGGCGGGCTGCATGCCTCCTGCCCTCCCTCCCGAGCAAAAGCTCCACCCAATTTCCTTTGGAGCTGATTAATAGGCGCAGCACACTCTCCCCTATTCGCTCACGAGGAGGCGGTGCCACTTTATTTGCATATTCATGAGCTTATTTATTATTCATGAGCTTTCCCGGGCCCCCCCAATATTTTTTATAAGTCCGCGTCCCTGGTGACATCTCTCCTCAGCATCAGAGGGCCTGTGAAATGATATATCTTGCTTGGGATCATGACACTATATTATCAGTCCCATAATTCCTCAGGGGAAATGCTTTCAGTGCACTATTTTCAGTCTAAGGCCTGAAAAGCTGCTCCTGAATCCATGACCTCCTTGGCTTTTTAATCTTTTAGAAAGGAGGAGATACTAGGAGGGGACGCAGCAGCTAAATTGGGGTTTTGAACTGTTTGCATTGAACATTCAAGTAAAGCTTTAGTGGTTTCTAAGCAGGCTGTCGCTTATGGGTGGATCTAAACACAGGGGGGGGGGGACCGCTATAAATAAGTCAGAAATTAGATCGTTTTACCTGGAGGGAGGGGGGGATCCTATGGGAAATGTCATTTCAAACAATTCCTGCTCACTGGCGCCATCTGGTATTGCATGTTAAAAATGCATTCAATTTGTTTTTTCTTTACTAATGTGGTTGAGTCCTAAGTCTCTACCAAAGTCAGAAGACATTGTTTTTCCCTTGAAGGTAGACTGTGTCAGAAATTATTGTTTCCATTCACTTTGTTTGGAAAAATCATTGCATTCTTGTACATACAAAGATTGTGTGCCTTTTAAAAAGTTGCCTGGCTGGAAGAGCCCCATGCTGTCATTTATTTTATTTGGTGCTTGTCAGAGGCTGACTGGACACTGAGGAGTGGTGGCTGGATTCTGATGGGTGGGCACACCAGGAGAAGGCAGCTTGGAGACTGAACTGGGGGGATCTGCAACAACTGGGAGACAAGAGTGGGAGGCAGGAGAAGCTGCAGGATTGGAGAGAGAAGACCAGGCGCAGGAGGAGGCAGAGGCAGATCAGGCTGCTGGAATGTGAAGGGTTTTCATGCCTCCTCCTTCTGCTCCCACTTATCATGTTCTTCCAATCTCCAGGTTCAGAAGAGGACTGAAGTGGGAGGAGCAGAAGGTTACACACAAGCGGAGTCATTGCCTGCTTGTGCGCTGCTTGGATAGGGGAGATTCATAAACCAAGGTTGGGGACAGGGCCTCTCCATTCTGGCAACTGCCTCATCCGGCGCACACCTACAAGTAGCTGAGATGGAGGACTGATAGATATGCTTTGCCTAACTTGTAAGCGTATTTTTGCCAATGAAGAGTAAATTCCTCACTCTGGACATTCCTGACTGACAACGCCGTGGCAGTGAATGATTTGTGAATCTGAGTCAACCAGGGCTAGCTCCGTTTTGAAATCAGTTAATAATAATGCGGGGCAGTATGATTTCTGGAGCTGTTTAAAACTGATTGTATGAATTCATGAAGGTTTCAATACCATGATCAGCTCACTCAGAGTGAGTGCTAATTGGCCAGAGATGAGGGGGACACAGAATCTCCTTCAGTCAGGGCACTTGAATCATCACATTGCTTCCTTCCTCTGTTTTGTAAAGGTGGGTTTTGATGGTTGTTTAGTAACAGTTTGAATAACATTTTGACCCCTTACCTTACTCATTTCCTCATAGGTAAGAAATAGAATATTGAAGTCATCTCTGTGAGCGTACCAGCCTTCCAGGTGGTCCAGCCATGAACTTGCAAATACTGATAGGAGAGAAATTAATCTGTCATAAATGTAGAGCAGATTATTTTCTGAAAAACATCCAGAGAGCATCATAGCAGTCATATAAACTCAATTCAAACAATTTAAAGGCACCAGTTTAAGAACCAGCAGTGGTATAAACCATTAAATCACAGTAAAAAAAAAATCACCCTTTAGTAGCTGCTTCAACCTGACACAGACAGGTTACAAATCAGTCTGGTTTGCTTTGGGAGTGGGCCCAATCCAGTGCACAGCTCTATGCTATCAGTGGCGCAAACTTGTTTGCTGTAGTTTATTTAGTTGGAGACATTCTGTATTACTGAGGGATGTGGGAAATCAGTTATGACTTCCTCAGAGCAACTAACAGCATCAGACATTCCTTACCATACATATAATTTATTTTATCTGTTTTCAAAGGAGGACAGGGTTGAAGGGACAAAAATGAATTGTTTTAGAGTGGCAAATCATCCTTACCCTTTCCAGCCAAAAACCTCTCCATGAAAATTACAAAGTCTTCTACTTTTTCTAGTGCGCATGCAGCTTTGGCAAAATGATAATAGGAAACAAAAACATCCTTTGGGTTTCTGGCCAAATAAACAACCTGCAGGAATAATAACAAATTCTACTTGGCTTAACTCTCCCAATAATGAGATAGATATTGCTAGCAATGAGATTGATCTCTTGAACCTGACTATTCTCGCAATATTCTCTGGTTTATTTTTCTGTTAAACACATCATCCTTTTGGGAAATTTTGGCACACTAACAGTTGCTGGACTGCAACTCCCATGATTTCTGGCTAACTTTGATGGGAGTTGAAGTCCAACCGTGTCTAGAGGACCGTGAGCTAAATCAAGGAAAGGGCCTTTGCAGGGACACTGCTTCCTAAAAGAGGCTGGCATGATCCTTCCTTTCCTATCGTGTCAGTTTGGAGCTTGAACCATTTTAATTTGCTGCTTATAATTGCCAGTCTTATTGCTTACTATTGTCTGTTTTGTTGTGCTTCTGTAGTTATTATATTATAGTTATATATAACTCCTGGAAATCTCATTGCAGCAACGTATCCTATGCTGGTCCAGGGCAGACCTCTTCAACTCGCTCGCTTATTTCCAACAACCTCCTCACACCTCCCTTTTTTATTCCACTTCTATTAATTGTTTCAGCAATTCCTTTCCATCTTCCTCTATTTTCTATCCTATAATTATCTTAACACATTCTTGCCTTATTTTTCCTTTAATTTTCTATTAATCTATTTATACTTAATTCCTTATAACATTTCTACTAAAGCCATATAACTTCATTCCAACATTCTTCTAACATTCATTGATTTTACAATATTTCTATAAATAGTTTTTAAACTTTTTCCAGTCTTCTTCCACCGACTCTTCTCCCTGGTCTCGGATCTTGCTGGTCATTTCCGCCAATTCCGTATAGTCCATCAACTTCATCTGCCGTTATTCAACACTTCAGTGCTTTCAAAAAGCAGCCATTCTCTCAGCCAGCAAAAAGCAGATGGTTCACAACAAAGTTTAAGGGTCTGGCAGGGCAAGTCCACCTCCTTCTTTGGCATCCGTCAATATCTTAAATTTTACTCGAGGCTTCCTGCCCTGCCAAACACATCTAGAAACATCCCTCTGCCACCTCCTGAAACAATCCACCCCATCCAAAGCTTGCAATGTTTGAAACAAAAGCAACATCCCCGGCAACACAGCAACCCTCATCCCCACCACAGCAACTCGGCCCAACAATAACAACTTCAGATTTGTCCATATTTCCCAATCCCCCTTCTCTTCAATCCAACGTCCTTCACAGTTATCCTTAAATAGATTCACATTTTTGGCGGTCATACTAACCCCCAAATACCTCTCTTTCTCAACCGATGTTAGTCCTGTCTCCTCCTGAGACTCTGTCAAACTTTCCTTTCCCAGTTCAGGTAGGGCTCTGGTCCTCAAATTCGTCTGTTTTTCTTTAGGATCAATCATAACAAATGTCAGCTTATGTTCATCAAGTTGCCTTTGAATGAATGGGACTCTCTCTCTCTCCAGTTGTATTGCTTTACATTCAGCAGCAAGGGTTTTCTCCCTGACTTCATCCGCAGTTTGCCATATCAAAGTAGATTCCTGTATCAATTTCTGGATGGTTTCTGTATTGGTTTTCACCTTTTGACCCAAATTATTTAAACTTTCTGCAATTAAGTCGATTTTAATATTTGCAGCATCCACTTTCACATTCATCACGTCTGTTTTCTTGTGAAGCTGTTCCAGCGAATCGTTTATTTTCACTAATGCGACCACTAAGGCCTCTTCTGTCGACATTCCGTCTGTTTTTTCCTTTCCATTTGCCATAACACTTAAGAGATTCAAGGTCAATCCCAGAGTCTCACATTTCTTTATCTTGCAGCTGGAAATTCCCCTAGCCCAGCTCCTGTAAAGCAACCAATTTCAAAAGCTTCCACTAGGGGAAAACAGTTTCTATTTGTATTAGTCAGTAAAGTCCTCTTTTAAACACAGTTCCAATAATCCAAAGTTAGTTTCAGTTTTCAGTTACTTTTACTCCTTTTTTAAAAAAAACCAAAACAGCCGGAGACAGTAGAAACAAAGTATTCTCTTGTTTAGCTACCTGTCAATGAACGTTCTAAACGCTGTCAATGAACATTCCAAAAGACATCAATCCTGCTAGCAGCCCATTTCCAGGGTCAGAGCGGCGGTATTTTAACTCTCTTGACTCTCTCCTACAGGCATATTCAGTCCACCACTTCCCCCCTCTTCTCCTGTCTCCAAGGGGGGGTTGTTTAATGTTCTTTGCCGATGGAGATTTAGTCTTTTACAAAGGGCTTTCCAAGACTTCAGCTTGCAGCCTCATTGCTTCAGTTTATTTACAAAACGGGGAGGCGGACTTCCTGTATTGAACCTCCCCGTTTCGATACCAAATTAAACATTTAAAAATCCAATTCTCCCACTTCAGCTCTACTCACGGGTAATTACTTTGGAGTCAAATTGTCCACAGGAAAAAGTCAGTGCTCTCCAGCAACAGCTATGTGGCTTCACTCCGTGGAAGAAGCAGACGATTCGAAGCACTGCGCCGCTCACCCCACGTCGCTCTGGATCCCCGAAACTGGGTTTCCCCGCGAGTAGGGGAGGCGCAAAAGGTGCCCGCCGAATCCCACGCTCACAGGCTTCTCCCGCCTGTGATTTTTATGGGTCCCCGCCTTCGCCGTGGCGGTACAGACCCAAATTCCCACGGGGTGAATTCCTCCCAATCAGAGGAATTCCGCCATTGCCGGAGGCACCAACCCGGAAGTCTGTAGCTTCCAGAAGATTGGCCTTAGGCAAAAAAGATTAGTCAGCCCTGCTTTTCAATATAATGCTACCTAATGTGAAGTGTTCTCAAAATTGTTCAGCCATGTTTATGGAGCAGGTGTGGGATTGACCCTGGGGTTCTTGCTGAAGAATTACTTTTTAAAAAGTAAACTTTTTGCCATTCAGTCATCCTGCTTGAACCTAGGAAGTTTTATTTATAAAAAACTTACCTTCTGAGGTCTTTTTTTTAAAAAAAGAGTGGGTTTAAGAGAGATATCTCTTCTGTTGCTTGGAATACATCAGCTTTTCAAAGCTAAAGTTCAGGGCTCTCCAGGTTGCTATTTTATAGAATTTTGTTAGCTGGTGAGAATTTATATGAATTGTCTCAATATTTAAAATGATGACTTTTTGTCCCAATATTGGCTCTCCCTGACTAAATGGAGAGGAGGTATGATAGCCATCTTCAAATATCTGAAGAGCTTGTAACATGCAAGATGGAGCAAGCTTGCTTTCTCCTGTTCTGGAGGGTAGGACCCAAACCAATGGATTCAAGTTACAAGAGAGGAAATTCCAACTAAACATCAGGAAGAACTTTCTGCCAGTAAGAGCTGTTTAACAGTCTAATGGACTCCATTGGGATGTAGTGGACTCTTCTTCCTATGAGGTATTGAAGCAGAGGTCGGATGGCTATCCAATGGCAGAGCTTCATGCTCCGGCACCGGGGGGTGGGGTGCCTGGAGGCTCAACATAAGACAGTACTTGCCAGCGAAACCATAACTTGCCCATGAAGAAACCACTAGGGGCAAGCATAGTTCCCCTGTTGGTAAGTAGTGTCCCTTATTTTAGTATCTCCTAAACAATTTGCATCTGATCAAGGGACTCGCCTCAGAAAACATTTGCTTTATTTAAGTAGGAAAAAATATTCTAAAGTGTTTATCTCTTAAATATGCAGAGACAGTGATGGAAATGAATACCAAGCTGCAGTCTTGAGAGCTGCTTTACCTACCAAGTTTTCTGCAGCCACAAACAAGCAGCATCCCAAGTTTGGCTACAGGGCAAGAGGCCCACAGCTCTTTTGCAACTGCTATTGCAAAACTTTTGATCGCAACAGCCATAAATATGTATCTCAATTGTGCTTGTGTTATCTTTCCGACCACTCCCTTTGGCAATAGGTGGGGCACAGTTTTGCACCATCAGCTTCCGTGCAAACTATTAAGAGTTGGCAGTCACTGGGCCCAGTGCTGCCAACAAATAAAATAGTGATTAAATAATGGGCAGCCGAGTCTAAGCCCAACCAGCTCCTGAGTGAACATTTCAGAAAGGAACTAAAGCATTTCCAAATTGAACATGAGATTAAGCAGCCTGTGGTGAGAGCACAGTCCACATAAAATTTGCCACACAGAGACCAACTTAGCTACCATCTGGGTGGAGAGGGAGGAGGTGGACCCTCACTTATCCCTGAGTGCTGCACACCATGTGTACTGCATTAAGGGAGGTGGGTGGTGCGGTGGTCTAAACCACTGAGCCTCTTGGGCTTGCCGATCAGAAGGTCAGCAGTTTGAATCCCCACAACAGGGTGAGCTTCCGTTGCTCTGTCACTGCTCCTGCCAACCTAGCAGTTAGAATGCACACCTGTGCAAGTAGATAAATAGGTACCACTGTGGCGGGAAGGTAAATGGTGTTTCCATGTGCTCTGGTTTTCTGTTGTGCCAGAAGCGGTTTAGTTATGCTGGCCAGGTGACCTGGAAAACTGTGTGTGGACAAACGCTGGCTCCCTCGGCCTGAAAGTGAGATGAGTGCCGCAACCCCATAGTCACCTTTAACTGGACTTAACCATCCAGGGGTCCTTTACCTTTTTTTTTTTACTACATAATCAAAAGAGGGAAACCCAAAATGAAAAAAAGAGAAGAGATAAATGGGCTCAGGACTCACTTTCCTCAACCAGTGTGGCGAAATGGTTAGAGTGTTGGACTAGGACCTGGTAGGGCAGGGTTTGAATCCCCACACAGTCATGAAGCTCACTGCGTTAGTTTGGGCCAGTCACCATCTCTTAGCTTAACCTACCTCACAGGGTTGTTGTGAGGAAGAAATGGGGAGGAGAACCATGTACAGTGGTACCTCGGGTTAAGTACTTAATTCGTTCTCGAGGTCTGTTCTTAACCTGAAACCATTCTTAACCTGAGGTACTACGTTAGCTAATGGGGCCTCCCAATGCCGCTGCGCTGCCGCCACACGATTTCTGTTCTCATCCTGAAGTAAAGTTCTTAACCTGAGGTACTATTTCTGGGTTAGCGGAGTCTGTAACCTGAAGCGTCTGTAAACCGAGGTACCACTCTACACCACTTTGAGATCATTAGAAGATAAAGGTAGTATATAAATGTAATTCATCATCAGTATCATCATCATCCTAACAACCTCCTTATCTTTTTTTTTTTTTTTTTTTTTTATTAAATCTTTATTTAGAAAAAGATATACTCCTTACAGCATTATTCAAATATATACACGTACAAAAATTTCCGTCATAGGAAGAAACAGGAAAAGAAGAAGAAAAGACAAAGAAAAAGGGAATAAAGAAGACAGAAAGAAAAGAAGGAAAAACAAATAACAACCAATATTACAAATACAAAACTTCCGTCCGTCTAGTTTTGGAAATTCATAATCTTACATTAATTCGCAGTATTACTAAAACACTATACGTCGATGCTTTTAATTATCGTCGATTGATAAATTATTTAATCCCTGGCTGCTTTCGAAATAAATTAAGAATTTATTCCATTCCTCTTTGAATTTAATTGTGTTATTTTGTCTTATTTTTTGGGTTAGTCTTGCTAGTTCAATATATTGATATAACCTCATTTGCCACTCTCCGACCGTGGGCATATCAGAAGATTTCCACTTTTGTGCAATTAGAATTCTTGCCGCTGCCATAGCATATTGAACAAGGGTTTGATCTATTTTCTTTATTTCTTTACCAATCATTCCTAAAAGAAATAACTCAGGGGTTTTAAAAAAATTATATCTCAAAATTTTTTTCAATTCGTCATGTATTTGCTTCCAGAATTCCTTCACCACCTCACAGGTCCACCAAAGATGGAAGAAGGTCCCGACCTTGTCCCTACATCTCCAACAGGTGTTATCAACATTATTATACATTTTTTCTTAACTTTACTGGGGTCAGATACCAGCGGTATACCATTTTCTCTAAGTTTTCACGTAATGCTACACATGCTGTGAGTTTTACACCTTTTGTCCACAATATCTGCCAGTTTTTAAACTCTATATTATGTCCCAGGTCTTTTTCCCATTTTACCAACGCTCCCTTCATCAGGTCTTCCTTAGTATCCCACTCCAGAAGGTGTTTGTACATTTTGGAGAGAAGTTTTTCATTACTCTCCAAAATTTCCACCTGGAACCTTGATTTTTTTCCACTAATACCCACTCTCTTATGTTCAGCCCATAGAGCATTAATCTGATGGTAGAGCAGCCACTCTTTTATTCTATCTTTCAACTGCTCATAGGGCTTCATCTTCCATCCAACATCTGTCTTCACTAAAAGATCTTCATATGTGCATCTTTCATCAATCATATTTATTCTCTTACTTCTAATAATATCAGTTGGTGACAGCCACCCTGGAATACCTTCTTCGATCACTTTTTTATACCTTTTCCACACCTCTAGTAATGGGCCTCTAATTACATGGTTGGAGAAGCCTCTATGAGCTTCTCCTTTCTCTTGCCAAAGGTAGGCGTGCCACCCGAATCTTATATTAAAGCCCTCCAGGTCCAATAAATCTGTGTTTTGAAGGGTGGCCCACTCCTTTATCCAGCATAAGCAGGATGCTTCATAATATAACCTAATATTCGGGGCTGCAAAACCGCATCTCTCTCTTGAGTCTGTCAAATATTTAAACTTTATTCTGGCTCTCTTTCCCTGCCAGATGTACTTGGTCAGGGTTTTTTGCCAGTTCTTAAAGAAAGAGGTACCTTTAATGATCGGTATATTTTGGAATAGGAATAGTAGTCTCGGAAGGATGCACATCTTAATTGCAGACATTCTCCCTGTCCATGATAGTTTCAATCTGTGCCAGGTGTCCATGTCTTTTTTGATATCCTGCCAGGCCTTGCTATAATTATCCTCAACCAAGTTTATATTTTTTGGTGAGAGCCAAATTCCCAAATATTTGACTTTATTCACAATTTTAATACCACTTTTTTTTCTAATTGGATTTTATCCTGTTCTGTCATATTCTTAGTTAGAATTTTTCGTTTTTTTCCTATTTAATTTAAAGCCCGACAGTCTAACCAAATTCCTCTAAGAGTTCTATTACCCTACTTGTACTGTCCACTGGGTTCTCCATGGACAGGACCAAGTCATCGGCGTAGGCTTTAAGCTTAAATTCTTTCTTTCCAATTTTTATCCCCCTCACATCTACTTCCTCTCTTATTCTATTTGCAATTACTTCTAATATCATTATAAATAACAAGGGGGACAAAGGGCAGCCTTGCCTTGTGCCTTTCTTAATCTTGAAGGGTTTAGTCAAATTTTCATTTATAATCAGCCTGGCCTGCTGCTCTGAGTATATTGCCCTTATACCATTCATGTAGGGACCTTCAATACCTGCCTTCTCCAGACATTGTAGTAAAAATTCCCAGGAGACATTATCAAAAGCCTTTTCGGCATCTATAAAGATCAGTGCTGCGGGGACGTCTATTCTCATATCCAAATATTCAATGATATCTACTATATGGCGAACGTTTTCCTTCTGGTGTCTGTTAGGAAGAAATCCTGCTTGATCTTTGTGTATGTACTTTATTAGGAGCTTCTTAAGTCTTCCGGCCATGATATCCGCATAGATCTTATAAATCGTTATTAAGCAAAGAGATTGGTCTATAATTTTTTACATCTGTTTTTTCTTTCTCTTGATTTTGGGATCAAAGTTATATAAGCCGTTTTCCCACGACTCGGGATCTTCCCTCCCTGGAGAATATTATTGATCACATCTTTAAGCACTGGGGCTAGGTACTCCCCTAATGTTTTATAATATTTTGCAGATAAGCCATCTGGGCCCGGGGCCTTCCCCATCTTCATCCTGCCAATGGCTTCCTTTATCTCATTTACTGTGATCTCCTTGTTCAGATGTATCCTATCCTCCTCAGTTATATAACTCCTCTCAATATGATCCAATAGTCCTTAATTCAACCCTATTTCTCTTCCTCCTTCATACAACTTTTCAAAAAATTGGGTAAACCTATTTTCTATCTCCTCTGGGTCTTCTATGATATTATCCTCTATTATTATTTTATTTATCACATTTTGCCTCTTTCTTTTTCTTAACTGCCAAGCCAATAGCTTCCCCATTTTATTTGCCGATTCGAAATATCTTTGCTTTGCGAATTTAATTTTCCACTCTATCTCTTGATTTAATATTGCCGAATATTGGGATTGAAGCACCTTAGAGGCTCGAATGGCATCATCATCTGTTGGGTTTATAACCAATTTTCTCTCATAATTTCTCAGTTGAGAGAGAATGTCCTCTTTTCTTACGATCCCTTACTTTTTTCTATAACTGTTTTGCTGTATTAGGCAACCCCTCAGCACCGCCTTGCTGGCGTCCCAGACCACATCTATAGGGGTTTCTTTGTTCAGGTTTAAAACTAGGTATTCTTTTAGGGTGCCTTTAATTTTTTCCCTCACCTCTTTCGTTATCAAATAGGTTCTCACACATTCTCCACCTATATTGTCCCTTCACTTCATTTTTTATTTCCATATCTAGGGCACAGTGGTCAGATATTGTCCTGGGATAAATTTTACAGCTCTTCACCCTCATCGAAAGTGTTTCTTGTTATCCAGATCTGGTCAATTCTACCCCAGCTCTTGTGGGGTTCGGAGTAGTGGGTAAACTGTTTAAGGGAGGGGGTTTCTTATGCCTCCAAATATCAATTAAATCAAAAATTTCCTTCCATATCATCAAAAGATTTCGGCAATTTCCCCTGACCTGCTTTCCCCTTCTTATCACTCCTATCCAAATCCAGTATCGGGACACCATTCATATCCCCAAGCAGAACTAGTTTGTGGACTTCCCAATTCTAATAACATGCTTTCAAGCTTCTCAAAGAACTCTGCTCTGTTTGAATTCGGTGCATATACCGTCACAACATTAATTTTCTCCCCCGGAAATTTAATTGGACCCCTAGAATTCTTCCATCCTCATCTTTACATATCAGGGTCGGTTCCCACTTCTCTTTAACATATATTACTACTCCTCTTTTTTTTTCTCATCAGAATTTATAAAGTCTACTCCTAACCTTTTATTCCCCAGGATGTGTTTATGTTCTTAGCGATATGAGTTTCCTGAAAGCAAATTACATCATACTTTTTATTTTTCACAGCTTTTTCAACTTTATTCCTTTTAACCTTATCGTTCAACCCCATTTACATTCCAAGATAAAAATTTTAATGTGTCTGTTATTATTTACCTTTGTCTGTTTCTAAACCTTCAGCCGGGCTTGCGGGCTATAGTCCTAAACGCCTTTGTTTCCTGAGGCCTCCCCTCTTCAGCCGTCTCCTCTCCCACTACGGCCTCAATCGTCATCTTCCTCTGAATCTCCTACCCCTCCCTTACTCCCCCCCTTTCCTCCTGTCTACCCTTAATTCCCCTTCCTCCTCTTCCTCTCTATTCCTCGCTCTATTCTCCTACCTTTCCCAGATCTTTTTCATATCTTCTAAGAAACTTATCCGCCTCCTGTATGTCCAACAACCTAAACTTTTTCTCTTTATAAAAGAAGCTAATCCCCTCTGGGAATTCCCATCGGAATGGGACCCCATTTCTCTTCAGTGCTGCTGGCCACTTGTTTATAGCCTTCTCCTTTTGCGAAGCAGCCTCACTGGTATCTCTTTATAAATAATAATAGGTCTTCCATCAATTCTTAATCTATTATTATAACTCTTTCTTAAAATTAAATTTTTCATTTCCAAAGAATTGAAAATCACCAGGCAGTCCCCCAGGAATTTGCTTGCTTTCAAATGTTTAGGCTTAGTCATTCTTAAAATACGTTATCTACGGTGGAAGCCATCTCCTCCTCCTTTAAACCTAGCCAATTGGATAGTTCTTTAATCATCTTCCCTCTTATATCCTCATTTCTGTCCTCCATTACTCCCCTAAATTAAGATGAAGTTGTTTTTTAAACCTCATGTCTGCCATGGCTAGGTTATCCCAGATCTTCTCTTGGGAAATACTCAGCTCCCCCAGCTCTTCTTTTACCTTCATTGTCTCCTTTTTTTGTTCCCTCATCTCTTTCTGCATCTTTTTATTAGATTCCTCAATCATTTTGGACTTTGCGGAAAGGTCTTGAATTTTGGTAGAGAGTTCACCAACTGCTCCTTCTATTTTCTTATCGATCCTCTCTGTATCTCTCCCAGTTTGTTTTCCATATATATTGCATTTGCTTAAATTCCTCTTTTATTCTGGCCCACAAATTGTCTAGGTCTTTAATTTCCTCCTGTCTCGACATTTTTCTTTCTCCCGGGGTCCCACCCCCTTTCTTCGAGTCTTTTCCATCCTTTCCCATCATTTCCTCTTATCGTCACCTCAAGATTCGCTTCGACCTTCAACCCCACCCCTGTTTCCTACCCTTTTCAACTTCCAATTACACACAGTTAAGAACAAAAATTGTCAATGGTAAGAGAGGAAGAAAGAGAAAAAAAAAAAAAAAAAGAGAGAGGAGGGGGAAAGGACCAATTCCAAACCAGATCAGGCAACTGCCTCAAGTAGAGGTCCAAACTTAAACTTCGAAAACACCCAGGTAGAGGTCCTATACCCAGTTCAACATAGCAGTTTATATAGTCCAGCAAGAGGGTTTTGGGGGGGGGGCATGAAATCAAACCTTCCCCACTTCTATGAGTCTCTTACTTCACTCCTTACCAGTCCAGTTCCCCAGCCTGCTTTGTTTCGAAATGGCAGAAGATTAGTAGTCCAGCAAATAAACTTGAAGATGTTTAATCCTGTTAGTCCACTTTTATAGTTATAGATGTAATATAGTTCAAATTATGATTGTGGTCCGAATTGTATTCTAAAGTGTTTATCTCTAAATATGCAGAGACAGTGATGGAAATGAATACCAAGCTGCAGTCTTGAGAGCTGCTTTACCTACCAAGTTTTCTGCAGCCACAAACAAGCAGCATCCCAAGTTTGGCTACAGGGCAAGAGGCCCACAGCTCTTTTGCAACTGCTATGCAAAACTTTTGATCGCAACAGCCATAAATATGTATCTCAATTGTGCTTGTGTTATCTTTCCGACCACTCCCTTTGGCAATAGGTGGGGCACAGTTTTGCACCATCAGCTTCCGTGCAAACTATTAAGAGTTGGCAGTCACTGGCCCAGTGCTGCCAACAAATAAAATAGTGATTAAATAATGGGCAGCCGAGTCTAAGCCCAACCAGCTCCTGAGTGAACATTTCAGAAAGGAACTAAAGCATTTCCAAATTGAACATGAGATTAAGCAGCCTGTGGTGAGAGCACAGTCCACATAAAATTTGCCACACAGAGACCAACTTAGCTACCATCTGGGTGGAGAGGGAGGAGGTG